AATAAAATTTATTAGTTTAACACTAATAATAAAATTAATGTTAATTTTTATATTTTTTATATACATTTATAATAATAATATACTCTTAACCAATGTCATAAAAATACAAATTAAAGAAATTCGTTATAAAATTATTTAAATTTTTTTTATGAATCTTTTTAGAGTGACAATTTCATTAAGGATGTATATTAAAATTTTTCATTATCTTTTATAGTATTTTAATTTTCAATACATCATAATGTTTCTCAATCTCTTTATATTTTAATTGTTAGAAGGAACAACTCTCGTGCAACGAACAAAACATTTACTTTCATGGACCTCCGTTATCATTAGCATAAACATAATATAGATGTTAGAATATCAACTGTTACCCTTAAAATTTTATTAACCACACCTCATGCTAAAAATTGGAATAAAGGTGTGTCACTTAACTTTGCAAGAAAAATATGAAAAGGACTTGTTGATGACCCTCTTCCTCCACATGATTTTTCCTTATGAAAAAAGCTATTGGAATAACATCATTTAAAATGAAATGTGCCCAAATCAAATGATTAGTAAAAATAAGGGATTAGTTTTTGCATAATGAACTCAAACTTGTGTCGAAAGCATGGCAAGAACTTTGATTATAGGAAATAAATTAATACCTAGAAAATTAAACTAAAGTGCCAAAAAGTGAATAAATTAAAAACAAATGCTAGAAATTAATAAATGAAAGTGCAGTAATTAAACTAAGTAAAAACATAAATTGTAAGCAGAAATAAAAAACTAGTAGAAATATATAAAGTGTAGTAAAAACTAAAGATCAACCAAACTATAAATTGCAATGAAAACATAAAAAGAATCAAGTTTAATTGAAACTGTAGCCATACTTGAATTTAAATAAAATACTAAACATTTGAGAATTTGGGTAGAAGCGAAAAACAAAAAGAGATGAACGTCGTTGAAACTAATTTTGCCAAAATCAAACTAACAATGAAAGCAATCCTTTGAGAATTGTTCTACCCTTATTAGACTGCATATTCAAAGATAAATTGTTGCAAATAACTTTGGACTAAAGAATCGTTGGGTAGACTAAGCTAAAACTAGGACACGTTTATGTGTGAAAGGTAGATCTGTTGACACTGAAAAATGTGTTAAAAACTTGTATTTAAAGGTCTTTATGACCGAACCCATTTAATAAAAATTTGACCTGCCTCTCCATTTTCCATGGTAAAACTAGATCTCAACAACTCCGAAATCATTTCCATTGTGCAAACTACTGGTAGCCAGAAACGAAAATCCAATAACTAGAAACCACTAGAATATTGTTTGTTGGAATTAACTGGAAGTTGCCCTTGTGTTTCTCAATTGAGCTAGTCAAATCCCATTTGGATCTAATACCAAGTCTACAACTCCTCCGCACCAAAGAAAGAAGATGAAAATTCAATTCAAATAAAATATTACCTCTAGTATGTAAGCCTTTAATTTATTTGTAGAAATTCAAAAAAGCACTTGAGCTACACTTTTCTTGGGCAACATGATTATCTTGCTCTAGCCCAACAAATACTCTAATTTCAAGTCCATTATTAAATAAATGAAGTTAGACTCTCTGAATTTAATTTAAAAAAGGACATTAATATATATACCCTACTGTAAGGATAGTAATATAACTAGCTCATAAACATAGTGAAGGCCCATGAGGCCCAAATACAAAAGAGCACATGCATGAGTTGCTATGAAGTTTATATACACTCAAATAGATCTAAAGGGACCAACAAAAGTGCAACACATGTCTAGCATTCCCAAAGGATTTATAAATACCCCCACACCCCTCAAAGTTATAGGACTTCTCCTTCAGTATTTCTCTCTAATACACTCCATTCTCTCTAAAGAGCTCTAAGTGTGGACTATTGTTGACTTAAGCATCAGAGTGTCTACTCGATGACCACCCTCGGGGCTTTGCAGGTTTATTGGACGAGAAGATCTAAGCAAGGAAGGCCTTGAAGGTTTTCAGCAACAACATTGGCGCCGTATGTGGGAATCGAATAAAAAGCTTCATTTCTATGTTGATCTGGTTGATTGGAGGGAGGAGAAGACGAGTGAAGGCCTCATGGCCTATTCACTTGAGTTGTAGAAACAAATCTAATGAATTTACACTTGAGTTGCAGAAGCAAATGTGATGAAAGGGGTCTATTCGCTTGCGAAGAAGAAAAGCTTTCACAAGAGAACAAACAAAGGAGTAGCTTTGCACAACTATCGAGGCATCGTACAATGTCAGCAGTGAGTATTCAAGAAGCAAAAAAATGTTAGCAAAACACAAGCTTAAGGTAACTTAGTGGGGTCCACAAAAAAGAGAAAAAAAAAAAAAAGCACAGGACCATGAAAGTTCAAAAAAAATAAAAAAAACCAAATTTCTCACAAACGTGGTGCCCTTGGTGAGAAGATGAGCTCAAGCTTGATGGTAGCAGCAGAGCAGCCCAGCTCGGCAGCAGCACAACAACCTAGCTCGGGAGCAACCAAATGGTCCAGCTCGGCAGCAACAAAGCAGTCCAGCTCGGCAGCGCCAAAGCCCAAAGCAGCGCACCAGCTTGACAGCAGCAAAACAGCCTAGCTCGACAGCAACCAAACGGTCCAGCTCGACAGCAACAAAGCAGTCCAATTCGGCAACGGCAAAGCTCAAAGCAGTGCACCAGCAAGGCAGTCCAGCACCATTTAGCCTTTTTCAACAAACCAATTGCTTAATTTCACTACATAAACAACTGTTTTTCCAGCGTCCACTACTTTCACTGCCTTCATTCTTTTCTCTCCATTACTCCATATTTTCTAAGATTGCATCATTTTCGAATAAAATCTTTCATTTTCTGCAACCATCTGCACAAGTTTCACCAGATCTCAGGAAGTAAAATCTACTACATTTTTGCAACCCTCTGAAAACCTACTCAAAAGTCTTTTTTTTCCCAGATTTTAATTTCCCCATAATCTTTTTTTCTTTTTAGCTTTTTGGATTTTACTCTTCTCCTTCCAAAGGATTCGATTCTAGATATTAGTTTCCTACCTTTATAACTTTGCATTTTGGTTTCTACTTTACATATATGTAATTAATGAAAATTGATTTTGAAGGTAATTAGCTGGCAAGAAAGTAAGTACTTTCAGGCAATTCGGGAAGAAACCTTAGCGATATTGTCATCCTTTCTTTCGTAGCCTAAAGTCACTTAAGTAAGAATCCAATCAGCTGCTAGGGAACAAGAGCCTATGGTTCCAATGACATAAGAAGACTAAGCAGCTATGCTCGGGCATGCTCGGGCTGACTATGGCTGGGCTCCATTACTCAAGCTCGATAATGAGGAGCTGCAAGCATCTTGCTTGAGCACGAGCTGCGAAATGCTAGAGCACAAGCTGCGAAATGCTAGAGCACGAGCTGCAAGCATCTTGCTTGAGTACGAGCTGCGAACTGTAGAAGTTTGAAATGATAATTGCTGAATCACGAACTGCGAAATGTAGAAGTCCAAGGTGTGGGATGCTGAAGCACGAGCTGCAAAGGCCGAGCACGAAGTGCAGGGGTCGAGCACAAAGCGCAGAGCTTGAGCACGAGTTGCAGAGCTCATACACGAGCTGTTGAGGTTAACAAGATGCAAAGGCCGAGCACGAAGTGCAGGGGTTGAGCATGAAATGCAGAACTTGAGAATTAGTTGCAGAGCTCAAACACTTGCTGCCGAGGTCAACCACAAAGTGCAGAGGTCGAGCACGAAGTGCAGAACTCAAGCATGAGGTGCAAAACTCGAGCATAAGCTACAGAGCTCAAACACTTGCTGCCGAGGTCGAGCACGAAGTGCAGAACTCGAACAGGAGCTGCTGAGCTCAAACACGTACTGCCGAGGTCAGCCACGAGCTGCAAAGGCCAAGCATGAAGTGCAGAACTTGAACACGAGGTGCAGAGGTCGAGCATGAGCTGCGAGGGGTCAACACCCTCAGAAAGGTGCCGACACCTCTTCTGCATCCGTGCCGCACACTCCGTGTCGGGTTTTTGTCCTTCTCTGCCAATTCTGTTAACGGTAAAATTACAGTCTTGACCCCTTACTTTTGGATTCTGCACAATTTAATCCTCAAATTTCATATCTTTGCAATTTACTCCTAAGGATTGTAACTTCTTCCAATTAAGTCTTTTTCAGCAAAAAGAATGAAAATTATGCAAAATTAAGTAAATTTTCATAAAATTCATCCAAATGTTAATAATATCAAGGCATAAATTTTACATTAATATGTATATAAATTTAATTCATCAACCATGTATTGTTTTGAAAATTAAAAAAGATGAACTTGTAATCTTTTTCTTTTATTTATTTTATATAATATACTTTCTTGATTATGAACCTGGATGCCTTTGATTTCTCCTTTTTTTTCAAGTCCTTGTGATACAGGTTGTCAAGAAAGAAATTGAGCACCACAACGAATTAGAGCTTTGGTCCAAGCTTGGTCCAATCTTATATTGAAATTTATTATTAATTGCTTTCTGCATTCTTTGCATTCATTCCACATTTTTCCATTCACTTTACACTTGTTTTTGCATTCATGATATCATTTTGCCATCTCATTTTTTATATATCATAATCATGCTACTTTGCTCATTTGCACTTATGATTATAAATATACGTTGCTATTTTAGAGATGGAAAAGTGCAGGGACTCCGTGTGGTGTGGGTTCTAGAGAAATCCCTTTATGGTGAGCTCCTCTTGTACGAGCTATGAACAACTCCTCCATCAAAAATTTTAAAAGGCCACGGGCCCAAACCATAAAACTCAACAGCTTACAAAGACCATCAAGTAAATTTCTTCTTTGGCAACATTTATGAGAGGCTAGATTTTTTTCTCCACATTTGCTCCTGAGTCAAGGCACGGAGGAGTTAACATTGTTCATAAGAAGCTAAATTCTTTCTCGACTTTCTATCTCATTGAGCACAATTCTTCCCAAGTACAAATTAATTCTACTCTGCAAGTCAAGTAAGTGTTACATATTAGAAATTTCAAAATTTCTTTGCACATTCAAAATTTTTATTGAGTCATTTCGCATATCCAATTTTTGTTATTATATTTACAAGTTAGAAAGACTTTTTATTACAACATGCATGACTGCTTGTTTATTGGACATGTTAAAGCATAAAAAATGCAAATAAGGTAATCTACGATTACAACGTTTATGTTTACCAACCCCAAAATGTGCGGGTTGAGGGGGGAGAAGAGTCATATATTATGACTTCTAATAGGAACCTATAATTAAAAAGTGCAGCTTCATAATTTATTCAAGTTACAGTTATTAATTGTGATACTGAGCTAAAGATATATATATATATATACATATATCTGTATCCTTATCATATAATATGGTCAGCCTTGGACTTTAACAATAGGAACTTCATGTGCTGACTTTGGAACTTAAACAAGTTCCTAAACTTGGTTGAGTTCATCCTCATGACAGTCCATTCCGAGGTGAACTCCCTTGGATGATGTAAACCTCAAATGAACTCAACTATTTTTGCTAATCCTCATGCTAGCCGATCCTGAGGCGAACTACCTTGGATAAGGTAAACAACCTTGGATGAGATGACAGTCCATTCCAAGGTGAACTCCCTTGGATGAGGTAAACAACCTTGGATGAGCTCAAGCTCATGATAACCCATTTCGAGGTGAACCACCTTAGATGAGGTAAACAACCTCGGATGAGCTCAACTGCTTGAGCTCATCCTCATGATAATCGAGTGAACTACCCCGGATGAGGTAAACAACCTCGAATGAACTCAGCCTATGCTTGAGCTCATCCTCGTGACAGCCTAGTTCGAGGTGAACTACCCCGGGTGAGGCAAACGACCTTGGATTAACTCGGACTACCCCCTACCCACGTAACCTCCACATCATTCACAAGTGAATGACTCCCAGAGGGGGAATAGTGTGATGATAGTCCGAGGTGAGCTACCTTGGATGAGGTAAACCTCGGATGAACTCAATTGCTTTTGCTCATCCTTATGATAACCCATTCCAAGGTCAACTACCTTGGATGAGGTAAACCTCGGATGAACTCAACTGCTTGAGCTCATCCTTATGATAACCCATTCCAAGGTTAACTACCTTGGATGAGATTAATCCATTCCGAGGTCAACTACCTTGGATAAGGTAAACCTCAAATGAACTCAACTGCTTGAGCTCATCCTTATGATAACCCATTCTAAGGTCAACTACCTTGGATGAGATAAACCTCGGATGAACTCAACTACTTGAGCTCATCCTTATGATAACCCATTCTGAGGTCAACTACCTTGGATGAGATAAACCTCGGATGAATTCAACTGCTTGAGCTCATCCTCATGATAGCCCTTTCCAAGGTCAACTACCTTGGATGAGGTAAACAATCTCGAATGAACTCAACTACTTGAGCTCATCCTCATGACAATCCATTCTGAGGTGAACTCCCTTGGATGGTGTAAGCAACCTCGAATGAACTCAACTGCCTGAGCTCATCCTCATGACAACCCATTCTGAGGTGAACTCCCTTGGATCGTGTAAGCAACCTCGGATGAACTCAACTACTTGAGCTCATCCTCATGACAGTCCATTTGGACGAGGTAAACAACCTCGAATGAACTCAACTGCTTGAGCTTATCCTCATGCTAGCCCATCGGAGGTGAACTACCTTGGATGAGATAAACAACCTTAGATGAACTCAACTGCTTGAGCTCATCCTTATGATAGCTGAGCTCAGGTCTAGCTTGCCACCAGCTTGCCATTTCACCAGCTATTTTGTGTTCCACCTCTCATGGGCCATTCATCAATAAGATATGCTGAGCCCCTATTTATTAAATATATTGAATATAATATATTCTTCATGTTCAACTAAAAGTGAGTGGCTTAAATGACATTTATTTATATTAACACATTTATGGAGCCTCATGCAAATGGTGGAATAATCGATAAGCTAATGGTATCTATGAGCTAGTGGTCTTTATTATTGGTTCTAACTTAAAGAGATAAATCTCTCTTTGAGAGGGGGAGTAGGAATACATAAGCAACAAAAATAAACTTTCATATTTTACTTGGCATGTGCTTAACTTGCCGCTTGAATATTTCAACTTGAATATATTTTGAGACTCATATTTTAGCATTGTTTATTTTGATAACTCATGTCACAAACATTTATATTTAATTCCAAATTATTGTGCCATTTTAATGTTGATGCATCTCATGTATTATTGACTATTGATGAACTAATGGCATCTTGTCAAGTTCTATTTTTAAAATGAATTTTTACAGGTCTCAAGAGTTTGTTAACTCCTTGGCTCGAAAGACTCAAAAATATGTTATCAGCTTTTGAACCCATTGACTCATCAGAAAATATTATTGGCCTTTGAGCCCATTAGCTATTGGCTTTTTAGCCCATTTGATCTCCAAGAGTTTTTGCCCATCAATTATTAGCTTCTCAACTCATTTGTTCTGCGGAGCACAACCCTCAAAGGGTTTGATTTTTATGCTATGACTTGAGAGACTAAGATTTTCTTATGGATATCTCAAGATGGGAATATGTGGTAGGCATCTCTAGCTACCGAAATTGGCATTCAATCAACTCTACAAAAACTGGTTTTGATCCTCACTCTATAAAGCGTGACCCTTAGAGGTCTGGCTTCCATTATTATGGCCCATGAGGTTGCAAGTCATCACTTCCGAGTGGTTATTTTCAAGTCGTCATTCTCGGCTCCGACCACAATGACTCCGGTCATTACTTATTACCTTGGCTATGGCCCAAAATACATGACTCCGTGTCATGCATGTTTACTTCGGCCACGGCCATAACACATGACTACGAGTCATGCATTTTTACCTCCGTTATGGCCCAAAACACATGACTCCATGTCATGCATTTTTACTTAGGCTACGGCCCGTGTCATGCATGTTTACTTCGGCCACGGCCATAACACATGACTACGAGTCATGCATTTTTACCTCCGTTATGGCCCAAAACACATGACTCCATGTCATGCATTTTTACTTAGGCTACGGCCCTAACACATGACTCCGTGTCATGCATTTTTACTTCGGCTACTACCCAAAACACATGACTCCGTGTCATGCATTTTTACCTCGGTTACGGCCCAAAACACAACTCTGTGTCATGCATTTTTACCTCGACTACAACCTAAAACACGACTTCATGTCATATATTTTTATATTTACTACCCCCATCTACACTCATCTTCCACACTAATCATTCACAAGTGAATGACTTCGAGAGGGGAAATAGTATAAGGATAGTAATATAACTAGCTCATAAACATAGTGAAGGCCCATGAGGCCCAAATACAAAAGAGCACATGCATGAGTTGCTATGGAGCTCATATGCACTCAAGTAGATCCAAAGGGACCAACAGAAGTGCAACACATGTCCAGCATTCCCAAAGGATTTATAAATACCCCCACACCCCTCAAAGGTACGAGACTTCTCCTTCAGTATTTCTCTCTAATACACTCCAATCTCTCTAAAGAGCTCTAAGTGTAGACTATTGTTGACTTAAGCATCGGAGTGTCTACCCGAGGATCACTCTTGGGGATTTGTAGGTTTATTGGACGAGAAGATCTAAGCAAGGAAGGCCTTGAAGGTTGTCAGCAACAACACCTACAAAATTATACACTTTATTACATACTAACAGCTTTTGTTACTTAATAATACATTACATACTGACAGCTCAACAAAAACGAGTTACTGTTCTGGACATAGAATCAAAACCTACAAATCTCCAAACAAAAAATTGACTGTTCAAAATATAGATTAACGTTTCTTGAACACCCAAACAAGATTTCAACTTAATCTAACGGTGAATTTTTGTAGATCAGACACAATGACAAAATTGTGCATAGTACCAAAACTGCAGAGAAACAGATCACCAAAAACAAGCTACTGTTCTGGGCACAAAATTAGAACCTACAAAGCTCTAAACAAAAAATTGACCATTCAAAATATAGATTAATGTCTCTTGAATACCTAAACAAAATTTTAGTTTAATCTAACAGTGAACTTTTGCAAATCAAACAAAATGACAAAGCTACACACAGTACCAAAATTGTAGAAATTTCCCCTATTTTATTTTCGCTTTTCTGCCAATTTGCTCCACTCACATGCACTCCACTTCCTACTATATCATCCCAAAAATAGACATGTTTATGTATCTAATGGACTGTAAAATCATGGGCTAAACACAAGGATAATTTTGTGAGAAAATGAACTCTTCCTTAAAATACTGGAGACTCAAGATTCTGATGTGGTGATTGAGTGTATTATCTAGCCAGAGCGACGAGAGAGAGAGACAGAGAGAGGGCTAGGTGTGTTTGGGGAGTTATGAGGGAACTATGTAACAGATTAAGTACTAGAGACCATCAGTGTGTAACAGAATGTATAACTTTGCATGATGTATGTATCATTTCCAATTAACAAAACCACCAAAGGCTCCTACTCAACAAAAATATTTGTATCAACACTTGACAACATAAAAAATATTTCCAAAATAAACAACAATGTATTGGATCATAGTCAAATATTTTCCAATTAATTCTAAAAAACTTATGGCTGCTCAATCTCTATATGGACATGTGACATCTTAAAAAATTGATAATTGTGGTGTAAACATTAGCACATTAGTATGTTCACATTTTAATTATTGTTTTTATACTTAAAAATATGCTATTATGTAGTTCTATGTATAAATCCTCTATATATATAATAAAAACAAAAAAAAAATTATTTCCACAAATGTTTCTCCCCTTTAAGTTCTAATATGATATGATACCAGAATTATAAACTCCATGTTCCTCCATGTTCTTCCTTTTTATAATCATTGTTTTATTTAGGGTTGAATTTTTGGATCCATTCTGGCTTGGGAACTCTGTCATTTAGGTCA